TTGTGTTTTGTATTCAAGGAAAAGTTGATCATATTGTCTCAACTTTTCATTTGGTTTATCTCAATTTGTTTAATCTTTGACACGCTCATTTGGTTTTGAGAACTAATATATGTATATATTTTTTACTTATCAAATAAAGTAACTAGGCATAAGAGGAAAATGATATATGTAATATCTTATATATGACTATCATAACTTTTAGTATTATTTCACTAGAATTCCAATCAGTGTTTGACTTGACTTGATATGTCTTAGGTTGTCATAGCTCATTATTAACAGAACATCTTTTGAAATATTATGCCTTCCTGATGTTTTGGGACTTACTGAAACTTATAAAATCATTGTCTCTCTTCCTAACAAATTAATGTTCTAATTCAGTATTTACTTTAATGCTTTATGTTTTCTTTATTTCCCCTGTATCCGTGCCTCGTCTTTTGTTTTTTTGTTTTTTTTTTTTTGATGATTATGGATCCTAAAAATAAAAATGTTACTTTGGTGTGATATAGTAAAATGGCCCTTATCAACTGTTGAATTTATGTCTATATTTCCATTTAACACTCTTTTATCTTGAGTCTTTGAAGAAAATAAATAATTTGGAAGGCTTGGGCAGAGAAAAATTGGCAAGGATCTTACAATTAATAGAGACTAGCTTCCTGCCAAAATGGTGTGATAACTCTTCCTCTTGTCTTTATACCTAATACATGTGTGTAACTGTGCATGTTTATATGTTGATGCCTACATGTTGCATTCCTATAGATGCTTGTATGTTTTTATGCAATTTCATGTCTGCTTTATTTATATTCTCTGTCATGCTTTTGGGACTTTTTACCTACATTTGACCTTTGTAGTTTGAAGCATACTCCTACAGTAAGAAGGAGGCAGAGGAACAAGGTGAGCGTGAAAGGCTACGGATGTCACAAGATCATACAGATGTAGCTAATAATGAAAGAGTGGATAAGTGTTTAGGCTTTTAAGTTGCATGAACTACATATAAAAATCAATATTTTGTCTTTTATATTTTGTTCACTATTAGTTTGTTACCTAATTTGACAATTACAAACATGTCTATTTTAACATGGATTTGTCCAAAAATTTTCGCTATTATTCAGCAACTTCAAATTCCTGTTTTTAACATTCATAAAATGATGACAAATTTATTACTCATTTTTATTGCATAAATAGATTTAACGACTAATGTAAAATGATTTTTATATATGTGAAGTAATATATATAAATATAAAAATGCATGCAATAATTTTTTTTTTTTAAATAGATAGAAAACTACCACGTGCAATGAATGTTGCTAAAAAGTCAATGGCATCACACGTTGAAGTTGCTAAAAAGTCAATGGCAACACACTAAAAGTTGCTAAAATTATCAATGGAAATATACAGTGAATGTCGTTAAAACATCAACAACAACATTTAATGTATATTTTAAAACATCAACGACAACATGCAATGAATGTTGCTAAAACATTAACGGCAATGCACAATGAACGTTGCAGTATCAAAAAACCCTACGGCAACACCACATCCTACAACATGCACCTGAATGTTGCAAAAGGGTTTTGGCAACGTTTTTTCACTGTTACAAAAGGCAATTTTTGGTGTTGTGGCTCCTAGGTATAGTGAGGTTTGTAGTTCTATCAATTTTGAGTATTTTGATTAAGGGTTCTCCAAGCGATCATCTAAGTGGGTTTGTTAAGCACGAGCTTAAGGGCATAGGACTAGGCCTTGGTTTGTCCTTGGCCCAGGCCACTTGCCATTGACTTTTATACTTAGTTTTGCCAAGTGTTGGATATAAATTATAGTCTTCCTATACTTAGTTTTGCCAAGTGTTGGATATAAATTATAGTCTTCCATCTTTTCCGTGTTGGCGATCAACCTCTCGGAAGGAATGGGGTAGGCCTAATAGCCTAATCCAGGTAAAGGCTCTAAAGTCCCGTCATTTCATTGTATAATTCTTTTCATATTAAAGAAAGATGGGGGTATCCAAACTCGACAAAATTTTGAAGGTGATGCTTAAAAATCGATGCCCATGCTGGAGTGGCTTTAGCCAAAAAGATAAACATGAAATCATCCAATTCGTTAATTTCAATTGTTTTGTGAAGCCTAAGTGAAATACTATAGAAAATCCCTATTAGTTATAAATTAATCCTTATGTGTATCTACAACAAAAATGGCCTTTTGTAACGTTCAAAAAACGTTGTTGAAACCTTTGCAACGTTCGGCCATATGTCATAAATCTGGATGTTGTTGTAAAGTAGAAGGATACGGCAATGATTAAAATGCAAAAAACCCTTTAGCAATATTTTCCAGTCGTTGCTAATAGCTTTTTCGCAACGTTTTTAAAATGTTGCAAAATATATTTTTAGCAACACTTTAAACATGTTGCCGAAACTTGTGTTAATGTTTTCGCAACCGTCTGTAAATGTTGTTATTAACCTTTTTGTAACATTTTTTCAACGTTGCCTTTATCCTATGTGCAACGTTTTTTCCAATGTTGTCTTTACTTTTATTTTCATGTTTCCAAATGCTATCACTATTTTGCAACATTTTTCAAACGTTATTTTTAACTTATTTGCTACTTTTTTTGAATGTTGTTGTTTTTCTAATTAATTAGCAATGTCTTTTAACTTTTGTTTTAAATTACTTTACTTGCTATTTTCTACAATGTTTACTAAATGTTGTGAAAAGATTTTCTTTTTGCAACGTTTAATAAATGCTGCAAAAAGTTACATGTTTTGAAAAACTATATTTTAAGTATTCGCAATAGTTACTGAACATTGTTGTAGAATGAAATTTTAACAATGGCTAATAAACGTTGCGAAAAATAAAACTTTTCGCAACACTCAATAAACGTCGCACAAAGGCTATATTAGTAACATGCTTTTAAAAAATGTTGTCAAGTCTCAATTATATTTACAAATGGCAACATTCATTTACATTTTTGTTGCAATAGTGACCTTTAGCAACATTCAAATAACAAATGTTGCATTTTATGCGTTGCAAAATGACATCTTTGTTATAGTGTGCAAGCGATTATGTAAACTCAAAGATTGGAATGTTTTATCAAAAAAGAAATTAATTCTTTATGTAACTATAGAAATTAGCAAGTAATATTGGTCCGCAACAGTGCACAAATACTCAGAAGAAGTACAAACAAATGTTTAGACGAATGATGAAGCTTTAAAATTCATTTCTACACTTTTTATTCAAGTGCAAAATCTGTTGTGCATGCGTATACACTAACAAATCCAGATTCTCACGCTTACATAAAATAACATGTGACTCACAATTACAACTTTCATGCAACCACATTTTGAGCCGTTATAGCCAAGCAGACAGACACTTTCTTTGTAAGTTGCTTAGACAGATTTGCTAGAGGGAACGTAGCACCAAAGTTAGAAAGTTCATCATCACACTCGGTATCCAAGGCGGCGCTTAATTTAATTTGCAATGTGACAATGTCACCGGCTGCAAGAGCCACTTGTCCCTCCTCTAGCATATCAATTACTGTCTGGAAAGACTCCTTGCATGTTCCTTGAAGGGATTTTTTGGCTGCAGGTGACAGATTAGCAACTGCTGGTGCAATCAACTCATTCCTTGATTGGAGTTCCTTAGCCACAGATACTGTTGAATTAATGGCATTTCCTATGGCATCATGCCAGTTGGTAGCGCCATTGATCATAGTATTGCAAAGGGCTCTTCTTCGCCGTGCAGTTCTGCAAAAAGGGCTGACCTGGATTCGAGTTGCTACGACACTTTGGACGAAAACAGATGCCATTATAGTCAGAAGAAGAAATGAGAAAGAGTTGAACTTTTTGGACGCCATGGTTTTGAATTATTTTCTTGCCTTTTTTTAGTTTCACCCTCAAAAGGTTCCTGTCTTTTTCACTTTCCTTCCTTTGGACGTCTTGAGCTTGTGGATTAGAGAGGAATGATTCTTTCCCTTGGAACTATCATATTTGTGTCATCTTTGGACCCTATTTTCTTGCTTTAAACGTTCATTGTTGTTCTCTTGAGACCACAAAGATTGGAAGTTCTCCATACTAAAGAAAAACTTCTATTATTTTTTGACATAGAAAATTCTCTCATTGGTGACCATATATATATATATATATATATATATATATATATTATTATTATTATTATTATTATTTATTTTTATTTTTTATTTTTTGGCGCGCCAAGATGGTAACTAATGATCCAGAAAGAGGGAGAGAGCAAGTACTGGTGTAAATGAACCAATATTTATGTCATGAACAATTATCAAGCTCCAACATGAGAATTGTAAATTAGATTTCCAGAGATACAACAAATTCAAAATTAATCTAATTATATTAGTGTAAGGATGAGTTTAGTCCATTCTAAAGGGGCAGTTTTGTCTTACACTTTATTTATTTATTTAATTTTTTTTTCTCCTTTGAATTTTATATCTTAAAATTAAAAGATTCCAATTTATAAAATTTTAAGTATCTTTTCAAAATAATTACATCTTTTAACATAAATAAATATGAACCATATATTTAATGATATAAACTGTACTCGATCAAAAGATTATGACTTTTCATAATATACCTTTTCGAGTAGTTATACTCGATACGAAACAACATGACTCTTTGATATACACCCTTCACATTTGAAGAGTCCCGACTCAATGCATCAATTAAAAACTTTACCAATTCACACATAAAAATTATATTGTCAATTCCAATAAAAGGGATTAAATCATTTAACAATTTTCTACGTACAAATCAACTCTCTCAAGCACTGCACCTTAATAATTTACAGAGATGAATTAAAACAAGTGACGAGAGAGATCTTGAGTAGCAGTGAAGAGTAGAGTTCTGGTTCTGAACGGTGAACCCTAACAAATGTCAAGGGACGCATTTTATACACGCTTTTCATCTTGGTTGTAAAATTATTCAACTTTTTTCCTTTTTCTTTTTTTTTCTGGAGTGGTTGTGCGCGCTTGTTGAATTCAAAGAATTTCATGATCATGGTAAATTAAGTGAATTACTTATTTACAAATTCTCTTAACATAGGACACTGAAATATGCAAATAGGGTCGAAAAAGCTTTCGAAGCAGATCAAAGCACCACTCGTCAAAAGAGTCGAGCCTCAATTGAAATTCATCAAGAAGATACTGAAAATCCTTTTTCCCAAGTATTAATGATGCAAATGCATAACATTTCTATCAGTTATTTGGTGATAAATTTATTCAGGAATATACATGAGCCAAACATCAGAATCCACATATATTTTCAGTTAAATGAGAACATGTTTGCTCAATCTTCAGTGAAGAAATGCCCAGAAAGACTGTTCATCACGGCCAAATGCATCTTTTCTGAAGGTTTCCAGTGCCGCTTCCTTTGATTTATAAACCAGTTGTTGATTTGCTTCTGGTCTAAACCCGTTGATTCTGCCAATGAAATTTTATCTGCCTCCTGGATATGATTTTGAACGCGTAATAAAATATTAAGGGTAAAATAGTTCACATTGCAAACTTAAAAATGAAAACAATAATCAACAATTTGGGTTAGTCCTCTTAACCCCCAAGTTTCAATATAGTATTAGAACCCAAAATCTCAAACAAACAATTCAAGTTCAAGATGGGGTATAATTCTCATATCGTTTAAAATATGAAAACAATAAACAATACACTATTACTCTTCAAGATGGAACTCAAGTCTAAATACATAGAAAAAAAGAGAAATCAACAATATCACAATACAAAGGAAAAATGAATTTACCTACCCACAACCTTGTGTTCCTCGCTTGTAAGAATTAGGCCGAATAATTATTTTCTTGTTTATTTTATACCTTGCATATAATTTAATAAACTTGATAATTTGCCCCCATTTTCATGAATTAATCGAGCAGTTATACATTTTATCCATTGATAGTGACACTTTTAACATCTGCACGAACATTATTCAACAAGCATGGCGACCAATATCACATATGGTGTAGGACTCTCGCTTTACGAGTTATTTTTTGTCATTAGAAAACCGCATAACAACATGAGTAGTTCTATGTTTAATACATTAAACTAGATAGGACGAGACAACTCATTTGCAAGGTTTTGTTGAATGCCTTAATCTTGTTCAGTCCTATCCAAATATGCCCTAAAAGTATTATTTGCGTTTCGCCAAAGAGTAAGAATCGGATTGGTGGATGCAAATGCAAGATTGAAAAAATACTCACGGTTGGATAGGGCCATTTATAGTGAAAATTCCACCATTCAAGTAATGTTTGCCTTGCCCCTTTAGGTAGCTTTCCTTTCTTCTTCTTCTTTGAAAATTCTAGCCTTAGGCTACTTATTTGATTACCGTACCTTTGTAAGAGCTTATCCTTGAGCTCCCGGTCTTCACTTTTCGCCTGTGTATCTTGTATTTCTATCTTTTCCCCTTTATACTCCTCGTCCAAGAATAGACCACCATCATCTGGCCAAAGAATTGAAAAAGATAAATTCTTAACCAATATGCATGGCATATTTTATTAGACATACATGGGAGGGCCCGGCTTAACCTCCAGCAAAATATGAAAAAATAATGAAAGAGCTAAAAATATTACATTTCATTCACTTTATTCATAAAATGTATTTGATTCCAGGAGGAGCACGAACTCCTCTTCTAGTTTATTTGAACGAGGTTTGAATTATCATTCCATGCATTTTAAATTATGAAAGTTGTATTATTGTTGAACTGCCATGCACAGATCATAATCCATCAAAAATATTAACACTTAACACGAAGTTTGTAATTAAGTGAAGATAAAATTTAAGCTTAGGACACTTAACGTACCATAACTACTTGCCTACTAGCAGCCACGTTGAGTCACTGTATCAGCAATTATATTATAATATTTTTTTATTTGGCAGATTTATTTTATTATTATTATTATTATTATTATTATTATTATTATTATTATTATTATTATTATTATTATTATTTATTTTTTTTGTAATTTTAATTATCGATTTTATGGGTCAGTCATATATTGTCAGTTCTTAGAAAACTATGCCTTGCCCGGGCAGACTTTAAGATAAATCTTATCAAAGTGACAGCACAAGAAATTTAATTGTTTGGAACTCCATAACCTCTATGGACCCACTGAGTTTCTTTATCTCAAGGCCCAGTGAAGTGCTTGATGATTTTGGTCAATTCATCGTTCCTACCAAAAAAGAATAATATGGGATACGTGGGGTATCAAATAAGTTATTTACTTTCACATATTTGGCTTTTTACTGAAAAAGTTCATACTTCTCGTACTATGAAAGGAAGTGGAAAGAAGTTACTTATTTTGACATTGAAGTATGGCTTACATGCTAGTTAATACTTACATTTTGATTGAAAATAAGTCCAATTTGATCGATAAAAACAAATGGAAGATAAACAAAAAGATACAAGTATAAATCATATGGATGAGGTTACAAAATTGATTTACAATTGAATTTTTTTTTTTTTTTTTGAGAGAACAAATGATTAAATGATACTAAAAGCTTCCAATCTTCCACCCCGACTATATGAAGAGAAAAATTAAGCGTAGATCTTATTCATTATGGCCCTATTTGAGTCGCATTTATTGAAAAATAAAATACATTCTTAAACACTAATTTGACATTATTTCAACCACGCATTATTCAATAAAATGGTATTACACACAAATCCAAAAAACTTACTTATTTTTTAACCATGTTCTCCATCAATCTACTATTCCAAAATACATTTTTTCAAAATAATGCGGCTCAAACACACTATATTGTCAACAGCACACCAAATACGTCTTCGTTAACTAAATCAATGTATAGATTATTCAAACGAACAAAAGTTTGAGAAACCGACTCTAAAATATAATGAAGCTAAGAAAACAAAAATATAATAATTACAAAAAAACTTGAAAACGCATTTAGTAACATGCTTTATCCACATCATCCGGCACAAAGACCCATCACAGAGAAAAAAAAGGTTTATCAATAAACTCAGTGCGTTCGCAGGAAGAAAATGTGTGTGTTTTGATAACCAAAGTGGGTCAACCTCTAGCGTGAAGCCCGGGCGTCCATATGAACCACCCTTCCTATCCGGCCTACCCAATAATGTCGAGGGTACCCTACTTTTTCTGCCCTGCCATATGCCCCCACTAAGTACTCCTCGTCACTTCTTTGTACGCTTCTCTCAACTCTTCATTTCACTAATTCTACAAATCCCTTTCCATTCACTCGTAGAATGTTCTACATGTGTCGCGTCGCGACACGACTCAACTGTAGTGAAAATTAATTCTTTGGAGTTAAAAGTTTGTCATCGGTTAAGTTTTTCAGATTGAATGGTCCACGAATTTTGACAAGTGATGACCCTTCATCAGTGACGACTCAAACTCTAGACAAGTAAAAAAAAAAAAAAGGTAAAGTGGGTACTTCAGTAAGATCATTATTCTTGAAATTGTCGCTTTGGAGATTTTGCCTAAGGGTCCTACTCTAAGACACGTCCCATCCCATAAAAAGGGAAAAAGAAAATGAAAAGAAGCACTTCAAATTGTATGCAATACAACTAGATCAACTTAGAGTTCCCAGTTACATTTAAATAGCACAGTCAGAATAAGATGCTTGAATCGTGAACTTGTGCACAAAACTATAATCAATATCAAGAATTATGAAAACCCTCGTCAAATCGGAGATACTTGATCATATTTGTAAGTTAAAAGTACTTCAACAACATAATTAACTTTTTCTATCGAGCTATGACACATCGAAGAGTCAAGAAACTCAGGGAAAAAAATAATAATAATAATAATAAAAAATAAATAAATAAAAAATAGGATTAAGTGTCATGTTCCTGAGCTTGTAACTGCAAAAAATACCTAACCCCTGTTTGTTTCCATTCTTTTTCCATTAAAATGAAAAATATGACCATTATGCATCACATCAAGCCACCAAATTTGAATTTTTATCTCTTGTGCAGGACCCATAACGACTATATTTTTCATTCTCAATTTTACAAAAATGAGAAACAAACACAACTCTAGTTGCATTAACAAACTTCCAATAACCCATTCCGAGATGATAATCAGCCATTCTAGTCCATAGGCACAGGTATTTCATGTTTATTACAGTTTCATTAACAGCAGAAAATTCGACTACTCTAATGGGTTTCGAGCACTTGACTAATATCGTATCAAAAAATATTTCTAGTTGCAGTTCTCATTCACATGCATTGTTTGATGCTTGAAAACAATACCTGCCTGAGCGAAACTTGTGCAGAAAACAGTGATCATATCCCTGTGAAATTCGAAACTCTGTAACACAATTATCCTAGAGGTTTGTATAAACATGATTCAATAACACAAGGAAAAATTTGGCTAATGGACTTGGCATTGCTTCAAGAGCTTGCTAGTAAATCCTAGTTTCCTCAAAGATTTTAGCTTCTTCAGAGTACATACAAGGTATCATGCAATAAATAAAGCAATATTAGGGTCATTTCATGTTGAATTCAACATCTCACAACTCTCACCAAATCCTTAGAACTATAGTCTTACAATAAGAATCCCTCCGAAGATTTCTCCTCAACAGTCGATTGAAGAGCAAAAATATTGCAAATTAATGAATATTAAGACGACATTTCTGATACATGTTGTAACCACAAGATCGTAAAGCTTCTAAAATAAATCGACTGTTAGAAGACCACCAAAGTAGAACCACAGCCTAGACCCAAATTAGGCAACCTTCACGCGGACATGTACATCAACATTCAAGTGAATATCTACATTTGCACATAAAATTTAAAATGCTCAAGGTGACAAGTTAAAGCATAAAGATTGCGGGGGACAAAAACTGGGCACATGAGGCTGGCTGAGAAGTTAACTTGTACTTTAAAACAGAAGGAATTGATTATAGTTGTCAAACATTACGAGCCTTAATTATACCTTAATCGACAACCCTTTTCCTTGATAATTCAACTATAATCCTCAACAGATTAGCAGTGTACTTATAAGGCTGTTGCCACATATTTCTTAATGCCAAATGCATGACCCTCGTGATAGACAAAAATGGCAGTTTTCTTTCAGAGGAAGAAGCATAAAACAGTGCAACTTTTACACGGTTCATTAAGATCAAAAGATCAAACCAAATGAAGATTTGCATAAGCACCCAAATTAAATATATCTACTAAATGTACTTAGCAGAATAGCAGTCTTAAAAGTACAGATTGTCGACACTATTTAACTATAAAAACGATGCCAGACTAGAAAATTAAGGAGATCATAAAGATAAAAGAAAACAGCAAATTAGATGTAAAACATGCAAAGCCTAGCGCATGCACAAGATCAAGAATGTCACGTGAGACCAGTCAGATGCAATCTTCTCTTTTTATTTTATTATAAATTATAACTGCCCAAGTAACTTTTCTTACAAGAAGACATAGCTGTAACTGCCAAAAGATTGGAAACTAGACATATTCCAATGTTTATTTCATATATATCTTGCAACCACACTTACCCAATACATGCTTCATTGGAAATTGGAACTCCTTTAAGAGTAATCAGACATCATTTTTACATCACATTCCAAGAAATAGATAAGCTCCATTACTTCAAAACTGGAAGATTATATTTATTATTATAATTAGTGGACAAGTGGTCGAATATGAACATACCATTAAGCACAACATAGAGATATTCATCAACGAGTCCTTAATATGAAAAATGATGAAAAAATTTATAGGAGAAGTGTTAAAATTGACTATAGTGTGATCATTAAAATTAAAAAAGAACATCCATCTATGATCATTCAAATGCATTATGATTTTTGACTATCATAAATCATTTTGGCCAAAGCTTTGGTCGAGATAGTTCAAAATGAAACCGAAATTGTTTTAAGAGACTTGCATATTTCTCCCACGCTTGGATGGAATATATCAAATTTTGGATAATTAAAATGTCTTCTTTGGCATAGTATTCGCGTAAAATTTGGTACGATAAAAGAGTGAGCACAGGAAATAGGATTAAAATAGAACACAAACCTAAAGGACAAGAGGCCATTAGCTAAGCACACAACGAAACTATTTTGGAAATATCACAGAAAATATTATATAATTATTACCAAAGATATAACTTGTGATCCTAAGAATATCATGGAATTATTTCTATATTTTTAACTGCAGTGAACCAACCCCTACATCAACATGAAGCTAAACTGAACAAAGGGAAAGGTTTCACCACTGTTGCAAGGAAGACTTCCTTGACTTTTGGTTCTAAGGAACTCTTTCCAATACTAATAGGAAGGACCCTCAGAATAATAGCCAAACAATAAACTTCAGATTCACAATTTTAATCAGAGTAAAAATTGTAAGAAATAACCAGTCCGTAACTCAAGAAGTAGGGTCTCTTTCAATCTTAGGGTTTTTGGTGACTTATTATTTCACAGTGCAAGGATTTTGATTGTAAAACTTGCACCGAAGTTCTCTGCCAATTGCTCAAGAACATGAAGAAGAAGAAGAAGAAGAAGAAGAAGACACTATAAACTGAAGCACTGTGTTTGTGTGGAGTAAACTGAAGTAAGGGACAAACCTTTGCAAAGATTGCCAAGTTGCGTTTCAATCTCGTTAAGGAATGAAGTTGCTTCATCAAAAGGCCTTGATAGATCCGACTTGTACTTAACCAATATTTCACAATACGTTTCCTAGAGAAAGAGGAATACAATACTTCATACAAATTCTTGAATGGGAAACCAAAAGTTCAAGAGAGAAATTAAGGCCAGAAAATAAAAAAGAAAAGTATATAAAACTGCCGGTGAGAGCGATTGACCATAAATTCGTCGAGCTCAGGATCGACTCCAAGGCATGTAGAAGATTCGTTTCTATTACATAAGTCGTTTTCTCGCTTGATTTCATCCAGCAGACATGCTATTTCTACTGGTGCTCCAACCTGAAATTGAAAAAATTATACGCTGAATTCGTGTTGATGATCAAGAATAACTTAAAACTCCCATTTGAGGAGGAAGTTTTAGGTTAATATATGATCATAAGCAATAGCTCGTACTAGAAAAGAAAACACAGAATCAAAGAAAAAGAAAAGACTTAAGAGTGACAGTTCTGAAGGCTTAAACCTTTTGGCAATCAATATAAGCATCAAGTAACTTGAGGTACGAAGGATGAGAAGCAATTTTAGCCTTGATTAAGCTCAAACCCTGTTCATCTTCAACATCTCCAGGACATGTTTCCCTTTGAATATTAACGGACGCCACATCTGACACCAAAGAACCATGGAACACACTTCCACCAAAATCCTCGGATCCAAACACTTCTGTATGATGATATTGATGATCAACTGAAGAAGAAATAAGGCCATAGTAGTGCTGATGGTACTCCGCCGGTATTATCAGATTATCCGGTGACATCAACGCCTTGTCTGCGTAGTCACACGTCGAATGAAGGCCGTATATTTCGTCCATATGACCCTCTAAAATCACAAGAACTATAAAAAAGGTAACACTTTTTCTTCTCTAACCCGACAACATTAAATTTATAAGGTAGTTTATATTACGTATGTGCTGGATTTTTAGGAGAGTATGATGAATTGAGAGAGATGGTAGCGGGGGTGGGGGTGGGGGTGGCGGTGAGAAGAGATGCTCAATTCTTGAGAGTAAGGCCCATTGTTTCCATTATTAATTACTCGGGTACTTCCATCGTTTTGTTTTTTGAATTTTTAGTAGTAGTCCTAGTATTCCTCATCTTTAGATCATATTCTAATATTTTCTAAACAGCATTTACATTATAGTCCCATTTTGATTAGGATTAAATCTTAAATTAATATCACCAATTAATTTTAATCATGTATTTAATGAACTCAATGTAGAAACTCTTAACTCTATAAAAATTAGAAATTTTAGAAATTGATGATCTAAATTCCTTCATTTCCAAGATTTCTATATCAAATCACCAAGAAAATTAATAATACAGAGCATATCTTTAATTCTTTGAAATTAAATTTTTATTACGAGATCTTGATTCCGCCATTCCAGATTTTGAATCTTAAAACTTGAACTGAAATCTTTTCGTCTTTGACTTTTTCACTTTTAATTTTGAATTTTGCCTCATTTGATTTTTTAATTCTTATTCTTAATTTTGTTTCTTGGTCCATAGACTTGATTTTTTAATTCCTTCTTCTTGATTTTTGACTGCGGATATTGGATCTTCCTTCTTTAACATGCTTTCTCTTGTATTCTTATATTGATGGGATGACACAAAGAATGAAAAGTTGCATATTATTAGAGACCATAACCCCGTATATGTATTCATAAGTTTTTCGTCTATCATGAAATACAATTCTAAAAGAATATGGTCTCTACACATATAATTCAGCCCGCACTTTATTTACATGTCCTAAAACCAATAATTTAATTATTTTATTAGATCACTTTAATTTTGGGCTTAACTTTAAGATAGCCTCGTGTATAATTAATTACATATGTAGGCCCATATTACAAATTCTAATTTCCTCATACAATCTCCCACTTGGACAACATATGTTACCGAATAGTGTATAACTTTATGGAGTCATAACTTTTGCTATCATACCCAAAAACATCTCTGAACAATCTCATCAATCAATTATGTCAATATATGATTAAGCGGTCTTCGTTATAAATATCATTACTAAACCCCCATTAGTCACATAAATCAACACGATCAAATAAATAGATCAAGTGTGAATATGTAGCATGATAATTTCATGCAATCTGATCAAAAATTGCATATTTTCAACTAGTCCTACCTTATTTTTTAATGAGATCAACTATAAATTTTAATCAGAGTGAAATTGAACTAAATACTTTATTTCTGAAATAAATCAAATATCCATGGATTTTGTGTCTAAAATAGACGATATCAGAATAAAAACTCCCACTGAATTGGTATATCGTCAAAAGATTCAACACCTATATAAGCAGTATGCTCATGAAGGACCTTGGGTGATAGCCTCCTTGTAAGTGGATCCGCAGTTATAGAATTTGTCCTAATATATTCGATAGACACTTGAATAATCTGAATTCTTTCATTGACAAATAAAAACTAAATATCTATGAACTCTAACATCATCAAACTCCTGTTGCGATACAATATTACTATTGTCACAAAATAACTAAAATGGTCTTTCAAATCCATCCAAAATTTGCAACCCATTAACAAAAATTTGCAGTATTCCGTGATCAAAATTAAAATATTCAATGATCTCCAATTGGTCTGATTTTATTGGATGTGATCATGTAATCCTAATTCTCTATAAATACTAACTTAATTGCCTGCTCTCTAAATATCCATCTTAGAGTTACGAAAATATCCGTCTAGCACTCAAACAATAAATATCATATCCAAACATATGCAAATCTTAGCATACATTAAACTCCTAACTGTTGAAACACGTAAAATTTTCTATATTTCCTTTCTTTAAGTTTACCATTGGGGCATTAATTGAAACTAAATTTATCTCCCTTAAAATAGGGTATCACCTAGTTTATATTCATACATCCAAAATCTTTTAAAAGCTTTATCGATATTGATAATCCAAATATACCTCGAGAACAATCCCAATGTATTTGTATATCTGACACAAAAGAGGCGACACCAAGATCTTTCATTTCAAATTTTCATGACTGAAATCTCTTAATTTCGTGTAATAGGCTTATAATATTATAGGCAAATAGTATATCATTGACATACAATACCTGAAAAATACGCTTACTCACATTGAACTTGAGGAATACACAATTATCAACTATGAGCATGTTTGATCCCCATTTAGCCCTTGTTTGATTCCTATTTTGGAGGAAATAATGCATTTTAAATAGTAGATTGATGAAAAATGTGTGGTTAAAAATTAAAGAAAAATTTTGGAGCTATGTGTAATATTATTTATGCTACTATTGACGGGAAATATACTTAATCTCGTAGATAGATTTATTTTATTTGTAAACTATCAGATGTAGCTCGAGATCAAAACGTGTCATAAATGTCATAATAATTCCAAAATACTCTTTTGTAGAAACCGAAGAGAATGTCTCTTTAAAATCAACGCCTTCATTTTGAGTAAAGTCATTTATAACAAGACAAGTTTTATATCTCTCCACATCACCCTTTCGAATCCATGTTAATTTTAAATATTCATTTACAACCAAGGGGCTTCTCAGCTCTCACACCTTTAGACAATCAGATGAGTTCACAAACATCATTACTTTATCTCTTTATTTATGTTATCAATCAACTCTTGAGAATTATTTCTTTAGGTACCTTGATGAAAATTGATTGATCATATCTTCTTTTACAATCCAATGTCATACTTATTTTCTTGAAAAGAGACAATAAAATTATCCGAATTGTCTCTCTTTTCTTTATTGAATTTTCTTCATAGCATTTGTTCTAGAGGTTGTTGAGTTTATTTTTCTGAAACAATCTTTTGATTGTGTATGGGAGGTTTTGTAACATTGTCTTGATTCGAAATTGTTTCTTGAACAAGATTTGGAGTGAGAATTTGTGTCTGGTCCTGATCATTGTCAATTGCAACAGACAAAATTCTTAACCTTAAAGCCTTATCTTCTCCCCACAAACTCTATATTCTCAAAAAATCGAACATTTTTCATTTCAAGAATTGGCCTAATAGTGGGATCTTTAAAACTTGTAACTCCTTAACAATTGTTTTACTTGTAACTTTATAGATAGATTCGGTGTAGTGTGGGACGATTCCACATTCCTTGATGAATTTAGCAAAAGCCCCATAAAAGTTATTCTTCTGATCTATCATATCTATTATAGTATTCACCACTATGACAAGATTTGACTTATTTAATATTTTTACTAAGTTGATTTTCAACCTTAGTCTCGTATGCCTTGAACATGTTTAGTATTTGAGATTTCTTATCGATGAGATATAGGTAACCATAGTGAGAAAAAATTCGTTTATGAGTTGTGGACCATTATAAGAAGCCAAAGGAAAACACTTATGTCATTACAAAGTGGAATTTTCATTGATGAATTTATATTTAATATCATGTGAATTCACATGCATTGTTTCTTTATAAGAGGCAATTGTATTAAATAGATATAGTGTATCATAACCTGATAAAGAATTGGAACCCATAATATTTGAATTAAGAAAAAGAATACACTTACTATTTTCAATTAAACAAAAGTAACAGCATTTGTCTAATTTAGAAACAGAAACCAAATTTCGTCCAAAATAAGACGGTATTGCAAATGTCTCTTTTAAATTCAAATAATAATCAAACTTTAATAATAACCTAAAAGTCCTTATAGTCTCAATTTCAACTGATTTACCATCACCCCAAATAGATGAATATTTCAGCATCAATTGATTTGAGGTTGTTTAGACAACTTCGCATAGATACGCTTATTTGAATATTGACACCAAAATTTATCCACAAAATGTATTTAGTTACTGAAACTAAATTAACCTCCAAACGAACCGAAATGATAAATGCATTTAACTTTACACATCAAGCGTGGTATTTGATACAATTTCTTTTTATGTATACCAAATTTTCACAAAAATAATAGCCAGATGATTAATCATTTTTCGGGTTTTGTTGTTTCTTTTTGACTAAATCAAATGTAACTATCTTATTCTTTAACTTGTTCTTAAAAGTACCTGTCAAGTGAGTACTTTCAGTTTCCTCTTACTTTAGACTTTTTTCATCTTACACACAAATAAGCTCATTAAAAGTCCACTTCTCCTATAATGGATCTTAAATTAATCGAATTATGCCCACATGCAAGTTAATAGACAGCTCAAAATTATAAAATTCTTATCATGTATGAATTCCGTGTTATTAATTCACAATTAATCTTCTAGACTTAATGAATTTTGACTTAATGAATCTTGATCACATGAATGTAGAGTTATTATAGATGAATTTATTTCTATTCATATTCTAATAATTTTAATGGGTTTTTATATTTATGTATTAGCTAATTCTTATATACCAAACGTAGTATAAAAATGTTGTTCATTTGTAATATTTCATTTTCAAAAAAAAATTGAATAACAGGAGTTGAGTTTCGAGAGTACAATTTTTTCTCTTAAAATTCTATCTTAAGCCCCTGTTTGATCCCCATTTTTGGGGTAAAATGTGTTATGTAATAGTGATTTTTGGAGAATGTGTGGTTAAAAAGTAAGAATTTTTTTTTGAAATGCATATATAATTATTTTATGAGAAAATGTATAGTTAAAAATGAGATTTGAAAAGATGCATTGTTGAAAAAATGGGGCTCAAACAGGAGCTAAATTTTATTTTCTTTAGTTCGTTTGAAACTCCTCAAATCCTCCCATCAAATTTTTTATAAAATATTATTTTTACAACACTTATTAAGTATTTTAGAATAATGTGCAGTACACGATCAATTCTGACTAGTCTAGACAAATTGGACCAACCCAAAAATAAAAAGGTAAAGCATACTGACCTATAAACTTGGTTCAAGATATCGATATTCCACAATACTCTTTACTCGAACCAAAGTCATCCTAATTCTATGGAAAGTCGACTTATGAAGTACTACACAATAATTATTGGGAACCAAATTATTGAGACACAGTATTTAATTTGAACCCAATTCAAAGATTAAAAATTCTCGCTCTACACCTCTAATTTGAAC